CGCCTCCGAGGAGCGGCTTCGTTTGAGAAAGTTCTTTTTTTTTATCCGGGTTAATTAAGGCCGGGTAATACAGCAGCGAGCAAGAATCAAAAATTGACAAAGGCGCGGCAGAACGAAGGAGTTGAGAGGAAACAGTGACGAAACACGGATCGATATTCGTGTCAACGAGTTCATATTTTTTCTCTTTCTGCTGGTTGATATTATGTATATTTTTTGTTTTTCGCCTGAATCTATACTATAATGATGTTGTATTATATCATGTTGTTGTTTTCGATTTCTCATTACTTCGTTTATATACCGTCCTTTTTAGCATTCGCATAATATTTCAAATTAGAGATAATTGACATTTCTAATTATATAAAAAAAGCAAAAGACTTTTTTAATAAAAGGTTAATTATTAATTTTTTTGTAATATTTCTTTGGTGTCATGTCAGTACTCGCTGCCTTTTCATAATTTTCTAATGATTATTTATTTGCATATCAATTATTAATTTATACAAAACCCATTTGTCTATTTTTTTATTACAATTAATTTATTTTATTGATTTTTCAATACGCATTGACGTCTATATTATTACATTACATCGTTATTATAAATAACATATTGTAGATTTGCAAAAATTGCGTATATACAAATACAAATTTTGTAACTGACTAAAGCAGAAAGCAATATTGCGAAGTATAAACATGTAAACCACTCTCCGAATTTGCTCTCGTCCCGTGGGAACAACTGTGACATTGCGTAAACAATCGATCACATCGATACCTGCAATAGTAGTTTATTCGTCCGAGTTTATGAATATTGCATAGCCATAAAATTGTCGCGTTAGCTTAATCTGCTGTATGATTATTGGGAATTTTAGTGCAGTCATTAATTTTGTTATCTACAGGTCATTATCTACATTGACATTATTATCTAGACCGAAAATCAGCTATATATTGCCCAATAGAATGCTCTTCCAGTCTAATGAGTCCGGAATTAAGCTGACAAGAAACTCGATTTACTGTTACAGAAATTGACTTGAACAATACATCTTATATCGCTTTTGTATCTACTATATATTAATTTAAATTGATATTTTTCTTTTTCCGCATCAAATACTTCAATATACGAAATCCATGCAGGCAACATCGTTATTTCGCCTGCAGCCAAGATAAAGTCGATGCGACCGCAGGACGGATGAGCCGCATTTGTGTCTCACGGGACGCCCGTGACGTTGGCGTATGCCGCAGTTGCGATTTGTCGATGCCGGATTTCATTAGCAAGTTTGATTTAATTGCCAAGCACGGCCGCCGCACCGTCTGGTCCGCGCGCGAACCTTTAATTACACCTTCCATTTATAAATCATTAATTTTCCAGATCCGCGAGTCCCGGTAACGACGCAGCGTGTGTCCTATACTCTCTGTACTCATATAAATTATCTCTAGTTCCCTAATAAACCATGCTCTATCTAAATGCGCTTAATAACTCGAGAACCTCTTCTCGACGTACTGAAACAAGGCTTACAGGTCTTGCGATACGTTACGAAATTACAGAGAAAGACAAGTTTTAGAGATACAAATCATACATTATTTATTTATCATGCTTAGATGTATAATATTTATACGAATCTGCTTCATTCAAGTATTATAGATGATTTTTAAAAAACATATTTAAAATATTTTTAAAAATTATTTGTAACAGAAATAGAAACAATTATTAAAACAATGTGAAACACATAAACCATATTTAGATATGCCTGTTTTTAACGTTGCAACATTTAATTAAATAACTCGAAAATTGAGACCCGTTTGATTTATTATGTATTTATAAATTTATACTAAATAGTCATTAAATGTATCAAAAAATAAAAAATTAACTTTATTACTGCAACATTATTGATTTACGTATATTTACTATAAAGCTTCAAATACCTTCATCTGACTTTGTAAATAAAACCATTTCAAAACTGATCGAATGTCGCTTTAAATCATCGCAATGATACATTGATATTTTACTTGATACATTATATTACTTGATACTGATATTTTCTACATCTCGTTTTTTTGCAACTTATATCTATCACGCAATGAAACCCGACCTCCGACGATTCGGATTTTTAGAAATTTTCACGAGCAACCGCAAATGGAGGAAATCGAGAAAAATGCAATAAAACGGCGTTCGTACAATTTTCGCAGCGCACGAAGCTAGCATAACAGCGGCGAGCGCGACAATAAAATGCGATGTATATCACGAAACGTGTAACCAGCTTTTATAGTTTCCATCGGCCGGTCTTTTTGCACAACAGCCAAATATATATTTCAATTCCAGCGTTAAGCGTTCGATTCTGGTCCATATCATATAAATTGTGCGACTCACGTCACGTCTGTATATGGGACCCCTTACTCGAATTCCCCTCGCTAACACCCCTCCGTTTCTCCCATTATCGATTCTTATCGAGCGCTCGATGAGGTCGGCGAAGCCTATTCAAAGCTTCTCTTTCAAGGCGCGCGATTGGCTCCGCGCTTGTCGATAGATTAAAATTGCAATCGCGCGTTGCATCAAGAGGAAAGAGAAGACCTAGATCAAGATCGGACGGAGGCGGGGGGATTGCGCGGCGTATTTGGATCGTCTTTGATCGACATTGATCCGATCTTATCGAATCTGTGGAGATGATGCGCGGACGATGGCGGACGAGAGCGACGCGCGCGCTGATTTGCCTCGCGCGTTTCCAATTTCTCCCCGCCGATTTAAAGGAAAACGCTGTCGAGTGCTTAACGAGTGCTCTTTCCGACCGGTTGGCTCGGCGACTCTTCTCGCGAGATTAAAATTGCCCGTTCGCTTTCTTCCGTTAAGATTGACGCGGAAGTGTAAGATGGACATTCTACAGTGGATCTACTTTATCTTTGAC